GTGGCCCAGCCTGGCCCGCAGCCGCGCTGAAGCCCCGCCCCGCGCCCGAGGGTCCCTCACAGCTTTCCTCCCTGTCTCGGCACCGCGCGCACTCACCATTTCGGCGGCCATGGTTCCAGCGTCCTCCCTGCGGACCCCACACTCCGCAGGTCACGGCGCCACCGCGGACCAGAAAAGCCAAGCAAGCCTCGGGCAGGAGATGAAGCGGAGGAGTAAGAGCAGAACGGCCAACGTGACCTCGCGAGAACAGGAGCGAGAACAGCAGCGAGAGCTCGCGACGCCCGGCTGCCGATTGGACTTGGAGTCGAGCCGACGCGCAGGCACTAAAGGCCAGGAGGGCTTTGTTGTGGCTCCAGCTTTTTTCCCCCCTCACTTTGCTGGGTGTGGGATTTATTCCTGTGATTAATGTTAAAGGAAGGATTACCTCTACGTGGGAGGATCTCTCCAACCTGGGAAAAGTTGTATTTAACCTTTATATAATGTCATATCAGAGCCAGGAATATGACTGATCCTAGCACTCTGGGATGCTGGAGAGTTCTAATCCAGTGTGGCAATTTAGCGATTTAAACTTGTCTCAAAATAAAACATGTAAAGGAGTGGGGGATATAGCTCAGTACAAAAGCCTCCGCAGAGGCTTAATCCCTTCTACCCCCCCTTAAAAAAATGTAATAATATTGTATACATTATGTGTCTATATTATTCACAAATACAAAGAATATAATTATTTTTAAACTTTCTTCTGGTTTTGTGAGATGGAAGCTTGAGACTTGAAAAGGGAAACTAAAAAATCGTTGATTTAGTTTTTAAGTAAGGCAGCTAGCTAGGGAGAGCACCTGAAACTGAGTTGAGTGATCAGCTATGTTCAAGGGAACTGAAATAAGAATAGGTAGTGAACTGGGACTTGGAACCAAGAATGAACTTCCTCAGGTAACATGCAACCCTCTCCCTACTAAAGGGAGTTGCAGCCCCTCCCTACAAAGTTCTTGAGTTTTGAGGAACTGTAAATGCAAAATAACAAGTTGGTTTTCTTTTTTTTCCCCCAAACTTCCAGTTTCCTTTAAACCCCACATTCTGAGTAACTGGACTAGAGAACCTGAGTTCCAATTGGTCATTTTTTAAATTCACGGAGCCACCTGTGATAGGTGCTCATTAAACAACTGAGCAATTCCCACGTTCCACTTAGCCATAAAAAGTTCTAGACCGAGAGACCATATAGAAGCTTCACATTTCAGATTCTCCTCCTAGAGAAACCAGAAGCCGTTTTTTTCTCACTTCCAATGAAAACTCCAGTCTCCTTCTTTTGGTTTGTGACTTCATTCTTTGATTTTTGTAAAACTGTGAACTTGGGTTTTACAAAATTAATTGTTTCATCTGTTCCTTAAGGCAGCAATGTTCAATGCAAATAAACTGTGAGACAAAGGCATAATTTTTTATTTTTCAGTATTACAGGCAGCTAAGATTAGACAGGAACTAATAAATAGAGAATGACTGAGCTCTCAAGGAAGTCAATGGAAAAAAATAAAGACTTCAGAATTGTGGCTGGCAGCACATCTGAAGAAGGTCAGGCCTCAAGATAAAGCTGGAAGGTCCAGGCCTGCAGCCTCCCTAAGGGATAAACAATAACTTGAGATTATACTGTAATTATCACCACCTGGTCAGATAAGTACAGATAGGATCAGTCACCCACATGGGTGAACAGAGCATCTGAACCATCCCTTTCCAAAAAAATATCTTCTTTCCATGTAACCTTGCTATATGACTCATTCCTGACTGGATCAATATTAGCTAAGCAGGGGCCGGGGATTTAGCTCAATGGTTCCACCCCCTGCCTCGCAAGCACAAGGACCCAAGTTCGATCCCTGGTACCAAAAAAAAAAGGAAAGAAATGTAATATTAGCTAAGCAGCTATACTTATTATCCTATAGATTGATTGTAGATTGGCCCATGTTATACGCACATTATGACAAGTTGGCACATCTGCCATCTAACAGTTTGGGAGTTATATTTCTCCAGTAACATTTTGGAGGTCCCACCAAGATAAATTGGAAGGAGGAAGGAATTTGCTTTTGTTTCATGGCTGCCTTAAATATTTGGACTGATTCTGGATTGTGATTTGTATAGGTAATCAAAAATTGTCATCCATTGTCTGCTGGTTGCTTGTGTCTTTTGTTGGTTGCTTGAACCATGTTAAAATTTGAGAGCATGAAAGACTGTGATGTGCGTTTCTGTGATGGAACATTTTTGCAAAGGGGGCTTTATACTATTTACTTGATTGGTTTGGTTGTTACAAGATAGGTTTACTACAGACAACTTTTAGAATGGTTTTAGGTAGACAGCTTACACGGTTGTGTCTGAGGATTCAGCCAGAGACTATGGGACAGGTTTTGGAAATTCACCTCTGTCAGGGATGTGTGCCAAGAATGGTAATGTGCTTCTCTCTGCAATCCTGAAAATCTGTTTTTTCCTTTCTAACTGGAAGCTCCTGAGCCACTAGGAAATTAGTGCTCATCTATAAGGGCACTGACGACAGGCATTCCTTTATAGACTACATAACCAACCCTGGGTTAGAAGGGAATCAGAATTTATGTTCATCCAGGAAGGCACAAATGAGGGTTTGGGCTAGTGCCTGGGCAGGGCTTTCTCATGCAACTGGCAAGAGAGCTCCCTATTTGAGTAATAGTGGAAGGAACTGATCTCTGGGTTAGACCAAAAAGAGCTACTTCCAAAAGCATGCATATTTGTTAGCTCAAGCAGTATAGTTTAAAGGAGCATCTTCAATCTGTCATTTGATTTCCTTTTTCTCTCTTGATCTCTCTCAGAAAGTTTGCAGCAGTTCAGGTTCACTGATTATTGAGTTGATTGTAACTTTTGTCTTTGGAGGCATGTTTTGCTAAGGACTTGAGATCCACCCTGGGAAAGCATTGGTCTTAATCATGGGTGATGGTGAGGATTTGATTCTTGTGTCTTGCATAGGGTCACTCTTCTATTTTGCCCCTACCCTGGGAAATAACACAATTTACAATAGTAGCATTCTGTCCAAGGCAGTTCTCTTGTCTGTGGCTGCTGAATTCCAAGACCAGGTTTCCAGAATGGTGAATTTCCCCTTCTCTAATGATCTTCACTTACAAGTGAAGCTGGCCTTTACTGATCTCTGTGCAATATCCTTTATTTTGTTTTATTTTTTGAGACGGGGTTTCACTACGTAGTACTGGCCTTGTAGCTCAGGCTGGCCTCAAACTTATGGTGATCCTCTTGCCTCAGGCTCCTAAGTGATGGAATTATACGCATGTGCCACTGTACCCAGCTTGGTCATATTTTTAAAAACAGGTCTATATTTAATCCTTAAACTTTCAAGTAAATGCGCAAGTCCACGTTTATCAGCCTTTCTGCCCTTAGGCAAAAATGGAAATTAACTCCTTTCACTTCCCACTCCCTCAAGAATGCTGCTCCACAAGGCAGACTGACTGCTTTTTATAGCATAGATGAACTCTTTGATAGAACAAAAAAAGAGTTCCTGGGAACATGTTTTAGTTAATTTTCTCACTGCTGATGCAAAATTCCAGATACTCAAAGTTAAAGGAGTAAAGGTTGATTTAGCTCATGGTTTGTAGAGTTCATAGTAGTCTGGCCCAAGGCAGGGTGGCATTGCAGAGAAGAAATAGTGAGTGACAAGCCTCTTTCTGACGCTTGTATCTTTTTTTTTTTTGTACTGAGGATCAAACTCAGGACCTTATGCCTTCGAGACAGGCGGTGGCACCACTGAGCTAAATGCCCAGCCCTTTCCCATATATCTTATTCAGGCTGCCCACTCTGGGGAAGGTAGTGCTCAGACCCTTAATGTTAGTATTGCATCCTTGATCCCAGTATCATTCACTCTAGATACAGCCACTTAAAAATGCCCCACTTGTGACCGCATGAGGCTTCAGGAGGACATTTAGTTGTAAGCCACAACAGAACCCTTATCAATTTGATAACAGTTTTAAACAGAAACAGGTATTAAAGGATAGACAGTCCCCATCCCCAAAGGACTACCTTTCTCTTGCCATGATTTCTCTCCAACATCTTTCCAGACCAACAATTATTCTGAGAGAATGCCGAGAGTTCAAAAAGGAAAGCCTACAGTTAAGTATAATACAAGGGGCACAGGATCATGAGGAAGGGTGCCCAGGTACTTGATAAGAGCAGATAAACACAGTTCTGGCCACATCTCAAGTTCACCGCCACTGGCACTGGTCAGGGCTAAACTTTAGGTGCAAAGAACAAGAGGGATAGACAGGGATGCCTTCTCTCCCCTTATTTCTTTTCAGAATGAGAAGAAACTGTCATAGATAAATATCTGCAGCAGGGCAGTTTGGAGCCTTGGCATGCCTTCTTCCTCCACATTTTGGAATACATACTCAGCTTCAAAAAGTGTAGCTTAGTCTCTTTCTATACACAAATCTGGCACCCCTCTGAAAATAGTTGAAGTTACCTTTAACCATCTGTTCCTTTAGTGGGAGCTGTTACAAGTGCCCATCAAAACAGCAGTTTTGGCTATCAAGTATAGCTATCAAACAACCATAGTCATCAAAACAAGACAGGGCCCCAAACAGCCTGTACAGTTGGCTATTCCAATAAGTTAAACTGTCAGCCTAGGTCTTATCTTAAAAAAAACAGTTTTTGTTCTCACAGGTATAAAAGTTTTTTTCACCTTCTTGCTCTTATTACAAGAAATCTCTGTTAATTGATGACCTATAAGAAAAATTCTGACTAGTCTACTTATAGTTACAAATCTAAAATCTGTAGAAGGGTTATTGTAGTTCAACTTGGCCCATACATCTGAGAGTGCATTCTGATTTAAATCATCTTGTGTGTGTTTTCCCGTCTGTTTTATGTGTGTTAATAACCAGTTAAATCACCTGAAGCTTTCATGTAAGAAAAATATTTTTTTGAGCTCAACAATTTCTTCTTCTTTTTTCTTTTTTTTTTTTTTTTTTTTTTTTATTTTTCTTTGGGAAACCCTTTTATATA